CCGCCAACCGTCCCCAAGAACTGCTTCTAGGACACCTGGCATTTCACTCCTTGGAGAAGAAATGCAGGAGTACAGTGTTGTCTCATTCTCAGGTGCAGTGAACACGCTGCAATGGGCAGAGTCCCTGGCAGTGACCATACTGCCTTAGTGTGGGCTTCCACTTCCTCTGTCCACACTTTTAAATCTCTTCTGAAGGTAAAGAGACTTTGCTGGTGCTGGGCTGGGGATGGAGCACAGAGCCTCACACACACAAGGCAAGTGCTGTAGATACTGAGCCACACCCTGAAGCCCAAGAAAATGTTCTTTTAATAGGGCCGAGTTTTCAGGTGTATTTTTCTTTTTATTGTGCTTTGCTTAATTATTTAGCTTTTTTTGTGCCTTAAGGTATTATGTATTATAATTCTATTTTTTTGAACCTCTTCAGAATGAACTTAATATAAATGAGTCAGATTCTCTACTTATTGTTTGAAGTTAGGTCTGTATATGTAAAGTAATAAAATATGTTAAAATAGCTGTGAAATCGACAAAGTTATTTTTATTTGGGTTGCATTCATTTTTGTAAATCTAAAAATGCTTGGGTAATAAAATAGTAATTACATGTAGAGTTGAATTATAGATTTTTTTAAAGCATGCATAATCAGTATGTTTCTCCATGAAATTAAGAAGATTCAGTTTTGATAATGCCTCTATGTTATAACTAGAGGAAAATGTTTCATCCTTTCAGGTAGCACCAGCTTGCAGTTTCCTTGAGACACAAGACCACTCACAAACAGGGCTTTTTCACTTTATTTACTTATAATTCATTTGTAATTTCTTATTATGTATTAGCAGTATAGCCAACAGTAAACAAAACATTTCATTAAGGCAAAAATGACAGACAATATTCTGAATTTAAAATTTAGCAGCTTTTGGGCTGGGGTTGTAACTCAGTGGTAAAGTGCTTGCCTTACATGCGTGAGACCCTGGGCTCAATCCTCAGCACCACATAAAAATAAAGATATTGTGTCCGTCTACAACTAAAAAATATATTTTTAAAAAATCAGCGGCTTTTATATCCAGAGAGCATTTTAGTTTTCCCATTTTTGGAAAATACTCAGAAAGGCCTTCCTTATTATTTAGATTTTCTTCATTCCACAAACAGTTATTGGGCCTTTAGTATGTGACACACCATATCAGGCATTGGGGAGACACACAAGACAGGTGGGCTGCACCCCTTGAAATTCCTGTTCTGTTTTGTAAATCTAAAAATTTACAAAACTATAAGAGGAAACTATATGTGCACACAAAAGAGGCTCCAGCTGAGATCAGAGTCATAAGAAAGAAGGAAGCCATGTCAAGAACACAGGCAGGGTAGCCTACCAGCAGTGTCTTCTTTGAGGAAAGGAAGAATTTGGAAAAGAACATTATAGATAGATATTACCAGGGTAAGCTCCCCAGAACATTCTGCCATCAGCGTGCTCCCTGATTGCTAATTCACCAGGCAGTGAATCCTTAGGGAGCTGATTAAACAGATTCAGATTTAGAGGTTCTTGAGTGACTTTTTAGTAAACCTGTTTACAATATCAAAATCCTTTACAATGTCAAATAAACCCATTACAATGTCAAAATATGGCAGTGTCTTTCAGAAATATGAAATAAGTTTAAAAAAAAAATTCCTGCCAAACATCCACCTCTGTCCTTTTAAGGTGCCCCTGGCCATGTGCCTGCGGAAGTTTCTCTCGTCTACTTGGGAGACCTGGATATCTCAGAAGATGCTGCTTTGGTGGACCTGAAGTCTCAGGTCAGACTTCTTCCTGTAGTGGGCCTTAGTGGTGATATGGCTTCTTCCAGTGAGATATTAATATGTTCTTCTATTTCCTTTCCCTCAATTACAGTCTGTTCTGATATGGCACTTGCTCTGTGCCATGTTCAGGGGTAAGTACCAGCAGGCAGCGGACACCGCGGCCAGACAGCCCCGACTCTGTTTCCGCCTTTGCCCTCGTGGCTTTCACTTATTGATGCTGACAGGCATGCTGTGCTTGTGTTTGAATCTACCCTTAGCAACTCGTGGCTTATGTTCATTTTTATTTTTTAGGGAAACATGGTTTATTGAAACATCCATAAAGCATTCACTTGACATTGTTTTGTACCGTTGTGAGCCATATGTTAAATGTCGTTAGATACAAGTTGTGTTATCAGTCTCCCATGGGGCAGGTACCAGCTTCTGTGTTAGGATGCTAAACTGGATGTCATGATGTTTTCTTGTGCGTTAATGAGCACAGAGAAGGCGAGTTGTGTCCAAGTGGAAAGGCCAAGTGGAGCATAACCCAGAGAGCTGAAGAAGCGTCTTGCTCTCATGAACTTGCTTTTTACTTAAAGGAAAGCATGCAGGGCCTCTGTATGCCTAGCAGTGGTTGGCTCGTGTGTCCTCAGTGTATGAGATAACATTCTTTCAGAAAGCCAGTCACTACGCCGGTGAGGACAATTGGGAAGATGCTTGTTTTCTTGCATTAGGTTAATGAGTGTTTGGGCCTACTTACTGGAGGCAAGGATTTTGAAGTATTTCAGGATGAGAAGTAACCTGGCTGGGAGTGCACACAGCTGGGAACTGTGCAGCACACAGAGCAGCTCTGCTCTTGTGAATCACACGTAGAACTCCCTGTGGAGTTTGAAAACATGATTAAAATGCAGCTTTTGGCTCATATGTAGAAACAGGCAACTTACCTATTTCTCCAGCCAATTCAGCAGTGAAGAATATGAAAATTTCTTAGGATTAACTTAAGAGTTAGCTATTCCTGTTATTTTTCCTGGTACTGGGGATTGAACCCAAGGCCTCACTCTATCACTGGCACTACAATGACATCCCCCAGTCCTTCGGGGGATTTTGTTTTCGTTTTGTTTTTAATTTCGTTTTGAGGCAAGGTTCTCACTGTATTGCTGAGGCTGACCTCAAACTTGCTGTCCTCCTGCCTCAGCCCCCTGAGTCACTGGGATTACAGGTGTGCACCACTGCACCTGGCTCCTGTGAGTTCTTAAATAGACTTTCTCATTACTTAAGGTGTGCTTTCCCTCCGATGTCATTGTGTACTGCTTCATTCCGTTCATTTAAATGAGTGTTTTTAAAAACCAGTGAAGAAATGTCTTTTTTCTTTGTCTAGGCCAGAGCCTTAACCCCTTCCTCAGAGCTTGCTGTCCCTGCCCCAGCCCTCCTCAGAGCCTGGACGGTGGAGAGCAGGCGCCCTGGCAGGCTCTTACGCACTGACCGGCAGCGGCTCAAGTAGGTGTCTTGCAGGAAGTTTGCTGTGTCTCCCTGCTGCCCCTCAGGACTGGGTGGCCAAGGAGCCCCCATGACCTTTGAGTCAGGTGACAGCATCTGGGAGGCAGATGACACCTCTCACTGTTATTTAACTCTGGGATAACGTCATCTTTGCTCATTAAGTATAAATGTAGCTTTGTGTGTTTCTCCTGTGCTCCAGAGACTGTAACATAAAAAAATTTGAAGTGGAAGTTAGGAGCAAGCTGTCTCTCACTCAGGAAGTGTTTGCTCAGCCTTCTGGAACTTTGAATGAGCAGGTTGGGGGCATGGACAGTAACTGTCATTTGCCTTAGGAAAAGCATTCCTGTGGGATTCTTTTACATCAGTTCTGATTGTGAGCCAAATAGCAAGGGTGTGAGAATCTCAATCTTGGCCAAACAGTGGACCATTTCTCTGGCATCTTCACAGAGCACGACCTCCATGTTTAGTCGGGAGTGACTCGGGTCTCTAAATAATCCCCACAGCAGGTAGTCTGAGTTTTCCCCTTTTCCGAAGTTTGAGCATTCTTACATAAGAAAACAGCCTTTTGCTTAAGGAAAAAATTTAAAACTAGCAAAAAAAAAAAAAATCATTGTCTTGATAAATCAAATGATATTCCCCCCAGTGTTGTTTTGTTCCACTTATTACCAGGGAATATAAACTAGGACGGAGACCCGAGATCTGCCTGGAGCCCCTTCAGGAGGAGGAGCAGCTGGGGTGAGTCTTCCTGCCCAGGTGGAGCCCTGTGCCCGCCCGTCTTCTCACCACTGCTGGCCTCTCACAACTCCTCAGCCTTGACGTCCGAGTGGTGTTTCCCCACTACCTCTAAGTAGTCTAGCAACTTAAAACAGAGTGTATTCTGGAAATGTGTTAGGAGTTCTGGCATCTGGAATTGAAACTCAGCCACCATAAAAACAGAGCCCCCCTTGCTCCCAGCTCCTGACCAGCCAGGCCCACTTCTGTTCCTGTCACCCACGCCACCCAGCGCACTGCCCTGCTCTGGGTTAAAACACCATGTAATGGGACTGCAGTGTTGAGATCACACCTCGTTTCTCTCCCCTTTGTCCCATCCACTTCTCACCTGTGGCTTTTACCTCGTATCCTGTAACAATGTCTGTGTGTCTAGATTTTTATCCCTCCCTTTAAATATACTCTTTCTCCTCCCCCTGCCCAGGGACCTTTTCCTGCTGAGCTTTCTCTCTCTGGCTCCCTTTCCCCAACTCTGAGCCCTGCATTTGTGCTCCCTGGCTGCCCCTCAGCATCCACATTTATAGTTCCTAATGTCAGGTACATAATTGTCTGCCTCAAACTGTCTTTTTTTTTTTGTAGCTTCCCACTTCTGTCTCTGAACCAGCATTTCCTGGGGGGCTCCATGGCTTGAACCTGTCAGGCTGGTTCCTGTTCCCTTCCCTGTAGGAGTGCGGGTCCTGCCCAGGCCTCAGCTCTGCCGCAGCTGCCCCTTTCCCCACTGCTGCTGCTGCCTCTCCAGGATCTGTGTTGGATGCAGGGTGGGGTCTTTGCTTCTGTTCTTCGTCAGGATTGAAGGAAATCCTGGGGAGAACAAAAGTTTCCTGCCAGCATTAAGGGTGTAGGGGAGTCTGAAATAAAACCCAGAAGAGTTCTGGGATGCTTTACCCCCGAGCACACCCCACGCCCTAGCAGGCATTGTGTGCCTGGTTGGTTCTGAGCCTGGCATCCTGTTCTCTGTGCAGCCCCCAGGACGTACTGCTGAGGACGCAGATGCGCATCCCTGAGGAGAGGGCCTACGCCCCTGCTGTGGACTTGGTGTGGGACACCTCCCGAGGCTGGACCACCGGCTCCCTGAGGCAGAGAGTGGCCGATTTCTATTCTCTTCCTGTGGAGAAAATTGAAATTGCCAAATACTTCCCTGAAAAATTTGAGTGGCTTCCTATATCTAGCTGGGTAATGCTATGGGGCTTTCCCAGAGGACTTGGGGCTTCCTGGCCTAGCAATTAGGGCAACTGCAGTTTCTCACAGTGATGGGCTATTTAGTAGGAATCTGAGGTTGAATTTTATTTTTATTTAAGATGTTTGATTTTCCTATAGAACCAGCAAATTACCAAGAGGAAAAAGAAGAAAAAGCAAGATACTTTGCAAGGGGCACCCTATTACTTGAAAGATGGAGACACTATTGGTGTTAAGGTGGGTTGGTTAAAAACAATTTGACCGCTCTGACAAGACACAAGAATCAAATAACACCATAGAGAAGTTTATCAGATCGTTGAGACACAATGATCCCCATTGAGATCATTTCAGATAATGGGTAAGAAAGAGAGAGGCAGACATCTGGTAAGAATAGTGGAACCTTGACCTGAGAACTGTAAGGGACAGTGGAAGGAAATTTAGACCAATTCCACCTGTGACCATAGATGTAAAAATTCTAATAATAAAACAGCAAACAAGCCTGGCGATCGTGTTTTAAAGATATTGCTATGTGATAACAAAATATATTTATCCAAAGAATGCAAGCATGGCAGTATCGAGAATATACCATGGGATATACATATATATAGTAGCCTTCTCTCCTCTACCTGAGAGTGGGGCTTTCTATCCCATTGACTGAGGTGGTTTTTTTTGTTTGTTTGTTTGTTTTATAGGGATTCACCATTTTTTAAAATATATACAACTTTGGAATAGGAATTGTAATCATGCCAGTTTATTGAAAGAGACGATCCTGGTTATGATGTGTTTGTCTCCCAAGGAGGTGCACCAAGCAGCAGCTATCCCTTCCCAAAGTCATTGAGGCTAACACCCCAAGAGTCACCCTTTGAAATGTGACCACTCAGGTGGGGAAGCCCTTAACACCAGACTAGGGCCAGGCCAAGGAACTGCCCTTTCCTGCCATGTGGCCTGGAGGCCTGCATTGTGGTCAAACTCCGAGGCAGGTAGCGGGAGATCAGGGCTTACCACAAAAAGGATTCACAGGTAAAACTGAGGCTGAGTGTAGGGAACAGGAGAAGGAAGCTCTGTCACTCATCCTGCAGCAAAGGAGCCCTGAGGGAAATGCCAAGGTCGAAGCTCACACTTCAGCTATAGAAACACATTGATTAAACAAAGTAACAGAATTTATAAAACAAACAGCTGTTCCCAGCACAGCAGATTGGAGACCTGCTGGTCAACGTGCATGGTTTCCACCTGGGTCCCCATAAAGCCCCTTTTGTTTGGCTCAGTCCCAGTGGGAGCATTCGTAATGGAAGGCAAAGGTTGATGGCTAGAATTAATTTCCCTTGTGAAGCCCCCACAAGTTGTTCTCATAAAACACTAGAACATTTTACATCCCTAATAATCTGGTTTATATTAATCTGAATATTTCCTTTTGTCACTTTAGGTGATTTTTTAAACATATCTCTTTAAAATATAGGCTAAACAGACGTGGAGACGTTGCTCACTAGCTGTTTTACTCTTGAAATGTAGAACCTTCTGGTCGATGACAGTGACGACTTCAGCACAGCCAGAGACGATGCTGAGAAAGAGAAGCAGGAGCTGCTACCTCGGGGGAAGAGGGACAGGTAACTGGGGCCTCGCACTCACCACCGCCTCCCCAGGCCCCTGGCTTCTTACTCCTGTTTGGAAAGTCTGGTGAGGACTTGTGCTGTGACACAAACCACTCTGCCACCCACCTTCTCATGCCTCCTGCAGATGGCTTCCTTATGGCCCTTCTTGTGTAGCGTGTGAAGTCCTTGGATAGCAGGAGTCATGGGGAGGCCTCCCACCTGCCCCCAGTTTGCATTCTCTTCCCTCCTCTCCTCTCCTGCCACCTTGCCCCGTTTCCTGGGTCTTTTTGCTCAGATATACCCTCAGGTCCCCACCACCTAAAATTCTAAGACTCCTGAGCTGGGTGCCAAGTCCCACCCTGCCGCCTCCACACTGCTGCTCCTGGCTACCTCAGCCTCACCATCTTCTCCAAGTCTCTTAAAGGTTCCCAAAAGCCTGGCTGCTCTGCAGTGGCTACTCTGCATCCTCATCCTACTTCTCTGCACTGCTCAGTGCCTGTACCCTCCCCCAGTGTGCAGTGCCCCTTCCCACCGCCAGGGCCTCCTTCCCTCCACCTGTCCCATGCACACTGGCTTCCTACATGTCCTTTCCCCACATGACCTGCTGGAATCACTTCCACCTTGGGTGCTTGCTCTGCCACACTCAGGTGTGCCCTGAGTCTTCCCAGAGTCCAGCCCCCTTCTGTCCTCCAGGCCACGCATACCCACCAGAATCTACTGGAGCACTCCACAGGCCTGCAACTGAATTCCTGAAGCTAGGTTCACTCTGCACAATCCTGCGTTCCCAGCTTCCTGCTTCCTGTCTCAGTGAGGCTCACTCTGTCCACACTCTCCACTGCTTCTGCCTCAGATCTTCCTGCCCAGTCTGGCCCCTGCTCACCTCCTAATTTTCACCTCTTCCCACCCTCCACACCTTGGGCAGCAGCATACCAGGCACATGGCTACAGTGAGCGTGCTTTGCCCTCTGCTGTGAGACATCAGGCTGGAGGGGGCAGAGGCCCAGACCAGGCAGGTCCATGTGGCTCAGAGTCTAGATATCGGTGTGGCTGGAGGGACTGAAGCAGGGAGTCCGTAGTTCTGAGCAGCTGCTGGGCTGCTCTGTGTTGGATGAGTCATGGGGGAAAGAAGCAGGAGAACTCTTGAGGCAACTGTCACACTCGACATATGAAGGTCACATGTTGGGCAGTGAGGATGGAAGGATCTAGAATTCGAGCTCTCTAAACAGGAGGTTTCCTTCTCATTCTCCGCTGTATCCCCAGTACCTAGAACAGTGGTCAGAGCGTTGCAAGAAGTTTGTTCTGCAGGTGGGCGTGAACTTCCAGGCCCAGAGAGCTGTCTGTGTTGCAGTGTGTCAGGACACGGTGCTCTGCTTCCCTTCCCCAGTCCTTCCAGCATCGGCTGCCTCCAGGGAAGTCATCCATGTCTCCTTGAACCGCGGGCACCATCCTTTCTGTTCTTCCTCTGCGGATGGTTCCTGCAGCACTTTTTGCAAACAAAAGTTTGTGTAGCTGTCACCAAGAGTCTAACCTGCTGAGCCTAACCTGTCCTAGTCACATGGTATCAGAACAGTTGTGTCCTCAGAGCCACCACTCATGCCCTCCTCCATCCCAGCATTGTTGGGTATGTGGTGACCACGCTGATTATTATTTTCATTTTATTTTTCGGAGAGTTAATAGTCACATGCTGCCAAATGCAAACACAGTGAAGTGCCTGCACCTGTTTCCCCAGACAGTCCCCCCTCCCCCCAGGGACCAGCATGACAGTCACATGCACAGCCTTTGAGAGCACATGCTCTTCCTTCTTCCTTGACATAGGAATTTCCTGGTGCACTTGCTGCCCCTGGCACATGCTGGGAATGTGGCACGCTGCTGCACTGTGCAAATGGACCCTCATTTAGGAAATGACACCCAACTCGAAGACTGCAGATGTGGGCCCATCTGGGGCTCGTTCTATGAGTAGAGGGACTGGGTCAAAGGGTAAGGCTGTTGACAATCTTGGAAACATACTTGCAAATACATGAAGAGCTGACAGGCCAACGCCCGGGAGATCTGAGCAGAGAGTTCGCAGAAAGGAAGCGCAGCCGCCTGCCAGTGGGGAACGCTCACTCACTGATAAGAGTCCACTCAGGTTGCCACACGCCCCAGCACTGCTGCAGAGAGCAGTGTCCCCTGCTTGCAGGTGTGGGCTCAGAAGGACCCTGGGAAACAAGGCATCTCATACATTGTTGAAGCACAGGCCCACCAGACATGGACCCAGGATACACGGCAGTTTGATTCACTATGGCCAGGTCCCAGGCATGGTCCAGATGCACAGCAGGGGACAAATCTGAGTTATGCGTGTCCACAAACACATGCGTGCGCACACAAACCACACAGACATCAGTTTGAGCAAAAGAAGCCAGACACAGAGCACCCAGGTTACTCCTGGGGGTGGGAGGTCACAGCAAGAATAATCTGCTGGGAGTCAGAGTGGCAGCACTCTCAGGGCTGGCAGAAGCTGCCTCATGTCCCACAGGTGTGAGCGTTTGTGAGGACAGGTAGAGCTGTGTGTGAAGTGTGTGCACCATGCATGTTATTGAGTTTAATGTGAAAAAAAGTAGGTGCTACTAGTAGGCGGGAAGAGACCCAGAGTCTGGCAGGCTGGGTGGCCAGGGTACAGCAACCGCTGTCCCCTTCATGGGGTTGGCGGGAAGGTAAACTGGAGTCCTCTGGGGGGCAATCTGGAAATACCAGTCCATGCTGCAGACATGTCCATGTCGGCCTGATCTAACCTGACCCTTGATATTGGGATGTATGTTGGCGTCACCCTAGACCCTTCAGCATGAGGATCACAACCAAGTCATGATGGCTTCTGTCTCCCATAGCCAAGAAGTCCTTTGTGCACAGAACAGTGATGTCTCCAGTGCAGGGACACCTGCCCGGCCCCGAGGACCAGAAGCTTCTCTGTCTATTCACGTTGGGAGCTTCAGATAGCGCTTGCAACAGGATGCGTCCCAGCACAGTGCCCAGGCTCTGCACAAGGCCAGCTAAGCATCAATGCCTTAGAAGCAGGAGAGTGGTTTGTGGGCGACGAGTTGGCTGCATCCTCGGATCTCAGATCCTCGTCTTCACCTGCCAACACAGGGACAGCTTTTCTCAGGCTGGGCAAACGTACTCCATAGCTCAGCTCCGCAACATACCTTGGCCCATGGGAGTCAGCACAGACCCAGGTACTGTGCAGGAGCCATGCAAGTGTTGACCTCACGCCACACCTGACCCCAGTGGCCTTTTTTCCAGGAAGCTTACCACTTGTGCATTAACCACAGGTATGGACAGGTGGCTTATTGCTAACTCAAGATAAACTTGTGTAAGATCCACATGTGTATAGTTGCTTCCACTTTAACCTGCATTGAAGTGGGTTCTGATGGTCTGTCCCATGCTGCAGGGGGCGCTGTGCTTATTTATATCAGAAGGAAAGGGTAACCTGTGCCTCCCAGTCTCCGTTCCCCACACGGTTCTCTTAGGTGACACGTTTCTTGTTTGAGCTGTGGCTCTGACACACAAAGCACACCGCCACAGAGAAGGAAGCCTCAGGTGAGGCCCACCTTGGGGTCTGAGGTCAGAATAGTCTTGCTGCTGCCCACAGTTCCTTGGCCTCTCCCGCTGGAAGGCTGGTAGGAGGCAGGACCAGGGGACAAGGCCCCACAGTTGTGGGTTCCCAGATGTCTTGGGCAGGCTCAGTTGACCTTGAGTAGCCTCAGTTGATTAAAACAGATGGGGAAAAAATGTATAAAGTAAAATTTTTCCCCTTAATTCAACACAGGTAACTATTCAATTTAAATTAAATTTAAGGAATTTAAATAGCATTTGAGAGCTAGCACTGCATTAGAGTTGACCAATCTAGGGTGCTAGACTGGCAACATCTCCAGCACAATCCTGAGTTGTCATGTACATGCTCCCCCTGGTGGTCACCTGTATTTCAGTTCCCCATCAGCCCTCACTGCCTAACACTAACACAGCTGAGGGCCGAGATGGGGAGGCACTGACAATGCAGCTTAGCACTTCGGCTGCAGCCCTGGCTGAAGGCTGTCCTGCTGTGGCTGCTACCTTCTCAGCCCTGGATACTCAGCAGGTAGCCCTGCTTCCCCCTTCCCAATCCCCCCAACACTAGGTGTCTTCAGTCTCTGTAGAAGCACTTGGGCTCAGACCTACAAGCCAGGGGGTTGTGCAACATGGAAGTCAAGGCCCAGTCCTCTAGACACGCCCGGAGGGGTGCGATGATGTGTGAACTAGGCCTCAGTCCTGTGGCTCCTGCCCAGGCCTGCTGTCAGCTGCTGTGTCAGTTACTGAGGCTATTTTCCCAGCGGGCCTTCATCCCATCTTAATATTAATGTAATAGCTGAAACATTCCGCTTTGAGGAGCCAGAGGCCTTCCCAAACCTCTGAAATATTCTGTGCTGGCCAGCAGGGGGCGCCCACCTGGGTGCTTGCTGGTTTTTTGTTTTTGTTTTCCAACTGGGCATGGGGAGAAAGCTAAGATTTTAAGGAAAAAAAATAAACCATTTTTAAAGTTGTAGTCTTCCATTTCCTTTATTCGCATCTGCTTCGTGTTCTACTTGCTTGAGATACGCTGTAGAGGCCTTCTTTCCCAGGCTCACGTCAAATGCTAAATAAACATGGCTTGCATTTAGAAGTAGCGTGCCAGTGTGGCTTTGGAAATCAAACAAGTATGTTTGGGTTTTAAATGAATCCAGATTCATGGGAAATCTGTAGTGGAAGAAACTGGATGTCTTCTGGTCCTCCTCCTTGTCAGGGTAGGGCTGGCGGAGGAGTGGAGGCGCAGGAAACGTGTTTCTTCAACTGCAGCTATTCTTCTGGCAACAGGAATGGGCAGGGCAGGGGCAAAAGTTACTAATAATCCAAAATTGTGGCTTCACTGACACTGGTTTCCCTTGGGAACAGACTCGACAACAAGGGACCCGTGATGGCGGCACCTTCACCTATCAGGACAGGGCACTAGCAGCCCCTCAACTAGCTCCGCCCACATCTGAAGCCTGGCCCTGGTGGGGTTTAAAACAGCATGTGGCACTGTGCCTGTCCTCTTTAGGGAGGCACCGCAGGGCTGAGCGCCTAGGCCCAACCTAACTTCCCACCCCACAGGCTCAGTTTTTTAACCAGGAGACCAGACCCCACGGTGGCTTTCCAGCACCCAAAATTCAGCCCATACTTAGAGCAGCTGAAAAAAAATCTGAATTTAGTTTGGCAACCAGTATTTTAGTCAATGCGCGGGAAAGTTGATAAGGACTCAGGGCCATGACGATCAAACCAGGCTGGTTTATTTATACACAGAACAAGGTATTTACAGCTCTGCTGGGCTATGTACATAACAATACAAGAGGCGGCTGCTTTCTGGTGGCCACTATATAAATTAAGATTATAAATAGAGGGGTGAGCCCCAACCCGGGCACAAGGCCTCTTCCCCAAGACCTAAGTGGCCCCTCCCTTCCCTTCCCTACACTCTTCGCCCTGGGACTCTGAGCAGCTGACCCAAGAAAGGCAGAACAGGAGGACCATGGCCTCAGCCCCAGGCGTGTGGCACAGGCCATCAGTGCTCCTCCTAGGCCCTTCGCTTCGGACTCTGAGAACTATGGTGCGTTTCTGTGTGACCAGTGTTGTAGTCACTGATAACACCAACTGTAACACCCCCAGCCCAAACCCAGTGCTTCCCCCAGAGGAAGACTGAGGACTTGAGGTGGCCCCAGTGCAACTGTCAGCTGCTTCTTGTGTCCCCTTCTAGCCTAAGGTCCAGACTGACCCAGGGCTTGTAGTACCACAGGCACAGGATTGTCACCTCCACGGTTATCCTTTCCCACTTGGAAATCAAATGTCTTCCAGGGCTGGATGACTACTGTCTCCAACACTACCTCAGGGAGGCGGCAGAGTCCATGCTTGGTCTCCACCCAGCCACCCGCGCCACTGGAATTGGGCCTGTGGTAGACACACTGACTCCACACTGGAGCCCGGCCCCCAGCAGGACCGCTGTGGGGAGTGTTCGCAAGGCAGAGCACACAAGACCCTGCAGACCCTGGACAGTCCACACACCGCTCAGCAGGTACCTCTGGAGTGCCCCAAGCAGCTCTCCACCCAGCCTCCCCACATTAGATGGGGTGACCCCACTAAAGGGCCAGGCAGTGCATTACCAGCCCCTAGGGCAGCTTCCTAACAACCAACTTCAAAAAGGAAAGAGAGGGCTGAGTCAGTGGCAGTGAGGACCAAGGGCGAAGGACTCAGCCCTGCCCTGGCGCTGGAGCTAGATCCCCGAACAGAGGCAGGGCAGGGGTCCTGGGCCAGAGTCATCCAGCCCAGGGAACCACTTGATTTTGGCCCAGAGTCTGCAGACAACCTTCAGGGACACCAGGCCTGGCAGCAGGAGACTAGATGCTAGCCCATGGCCTGAGAATCTGGGGCCTCCTGATAGGAAGGAGGACCCAGCCCATCCAGCTCCTGGAAACCCATACACTCTCCCACAGAATAGACAGCTTCCCCAGACCCGGGAAGCTTCTCCTACCCAGAAGTACTGAGCTAACCCCAACCCACACACCCTTGTCGCTCCAAGCGGGACTCCTGAGGTCCATGGTATCCTGTAGACAGGAGGGATGTCCATGCCCACAGCCTAAGAGAGGATGCAGAGGACCGCAGGCCTGCAGCGAATGAGGAAGGCCTGAGAGCTGAGGAACAGAACCACGTGCTGCCTTGGCTGGACGAGAACGTTGCTCTCCTCCTCTTTAGAGCAGGTTAAAGCAAACAGAACTCAAAACAAGTCCGTTCACTTTCAAGACCAGCAGAGTGCACAGCCTTTGTTAGAAACAAGAATCTTCTGAATGAACAGGGCAGTAGCAGTGGGCTGCCTCGCGGGGCTGCTGGGAAGAGCCACAGGGTGGCTGTCAGGCACAGAGAATGTTCTGGCAGGGGCCCACCACGCACTGAGCCCAAACCATGCTTCTGAGAGCCGTCAGGGACAGAGATGGTGCCACCAATGTGGCCAACAAAGCACACGCAGAAGGGCCCACAGGGCAACCCAGGCTCAGGGCCTAGGCAAGTTTCTGCAGAAGCGTCTGGTACCCAGAGTCCCTGTGGCCCACGACAGGTCAGTGAGAGCCGAGACTGGGCAGGACTCTGAGCTGGGAAAGGTGGTGTTTCAAAGGTAGCTGTGTTGGTATGTTCAGGACTCCTGGAGCTGTTATGGACGGGAGTCGAGAGCGGCTTCCTGTCACTAACAAAGGGAGTAGCACCATGAGAGGCCAGGGGCAGTCCTCCCTGGGCCTCAGTCGCGGGAGGAGCGGAGGATGCAGGCCGAGAAGACAGAGGCTAGGCCTCGGTGGCAGGGGAGCCCTGGCTCAGTTCCTTGATTCCACACAGGATCCTCTTCATGTGTCCCACTTTGGTTACGCCAAGGTCCTGCAACAGAAAGGACAGCCACCATGGATGCAAGGAAGGGGGCCCAGACCAAAGGGCTCTACAGATGGGTCTGCACAGTGGACCCTTCCCACTCTGCTTCCTGAGCACAAATGAGGGTAAGAGAGACAACGACAGTGGAACAGACAGAAATGGCACAAATCACGATCGCATGGACACCTAGCACACCGTTCCTGTGTCCTCCAAGTCACTGACGCCGCTGTCAAGAAAGATCCAACAAGACAAAAAACACAGGCCTAGGAGCAAGTAGATGGCAGGTGGCCTCAGGAGAGGCACTGCTAAGAGGGGCGGTGGCCTTTTGCCTTCTCAGGACTTGGCCAGTAACAATGCCCAGAAGACAGGCTCCACAGGGTGACTCTACAAGTCAAGGGCAGTAGGTGCAGACCCAGGGGCACATGCACGAGGCGAGCTGCCTCAGCACCTGCCCAGGAGCAGCACAGAGAAGTCACATTATGTGACAGGGCTCCAGAAATCCTTCCACTCACAACTTAACCACAGAGGACCCCACATACCACTAGGCACTGGAGCTCTTCTGCTAAGTGTGGGAGCCTGAGGCTGGACCCCCTGGGGCTTCTGAGGTCACACAGCCCCTTGTCAATATGGCCAAGCAAATCAAGACTACCCCAGTGTCTGCTCCTAGCTTCTCCTGGCTGTGGCAGGTGCAGCCATCACTGCCAAGAACCGTGCAAAACTTCAGGATGCTAGGACCTGGCCAGGAGCGGGTAGAGGACGGAGCTGAGAGGGGCGACCAGGAAGCCCCATGCAGGTTCCAAGAAGAAGCCTGTGAAAGTACCTTGAGGTCCCTCCGCTCCAGGTGCAGGAGCTCAGAGCCCCGGATGTCGTGCCGCGTGAAGATGTCCTTATACTCACAGAGACTGAGGTGCTCCAACCAGGCAGCCACCTCCTCTGTCCCCCAGAGGTGAACTGTCGAGACGGAAAAGCACGAGTGCAGTGAGTGCCCAGAGCCCAGCGCAAGGACAGCCAGCGCCCGAGATACCCCGGCAGTGGCGCCCACCACCCAGCCACAGGCAAGCACCCTCCCGTAGTACAGTGCAGAAGAGACAGGAGCCACCCGCTTGGGTGTGAGCGGCAGGAGTGCTGGCGTCTGTTCCTGCCAGGTTGCCACTCCCATGTCCCAGGAGAGATCAGACACCACCCAGTACTGGGGGGAACACCTTTGTGTGGCCACAGTGTTGGCTCTCACGGCTGGACCATAGCAGGAAGGGAGAGAGGCAGTTAGACTTTCCAGGCTCAGCCGCCATCATGAACAGAAACCCAATTTCTGGTCAAACATGCAAAGAACAACAATCAAAAGAGCTGCCCTGAATGGTGGCAAATGCACCCAACAGAGTCCAGGTCGGGGCCTGCACAGCACCCAGAGGGCTACACACAGCTCGGTGCTCAGCCAGCTCTTCGGACAGAGATTGTAAACCCCAATTTACTGACCCTGAGGAAAAATGTCCTTTTGGATCGTTTTCTATTGATTTCATCACCCACAATCACTGGTGGCCTGGGGTTCCTGGCTTATAGACCTTGATCATCGAATCAATCAAACAGGAATCAGCAGCCTTTCACAAGGAGCAGGCAGAGGACCCCAGCACAGTCTGAGTCCAGAGTTTTATGTCTCCAAGTCTGTCTTGTCACCTCTGCTGTCCTCCCTACCTCAAAGCCCCAACTCAAGGCAGATAGGTCAGTGTCCCATCACCCTGGGTCTCCATGGGGGAATAGGGCATGACAAAAGTACCCAGCCTAGACAGGGAAAGCAAGCAGGGGGAGGTGCTGTAGCTGCAGACAGACCTGTGCAGCCTCGTGACTGGAAGTCACAGCAAAGGGACCACAGGGAATGGCCTTGCAGCCAGGGGAGAAAAGCAGAGGCCAGGACCGCTGGCATGGACAGACAGAAACACGCAGGAGAAGGGCAGGTACCCGGGGCTCCCAGGCTACTGTAAGCTTCTTTGTTCTTGTTGTTTTTCTCCTTTTTAAATTTGGTCACCAGGCGGAATTTACCACTGCGGCTGCGTTTGGAAAGATCCAACATCACATTCTGTTGGGGAGAAGGAGAAACACTGGGCGTCAGACCCTACCTTATCGAGGCCTTGG